CCGGTACCAGGCCCTCACTCGATGAATCCATGAGAACCGGTAGAGGGCTGGGATCCATATGTAGAGGCCTAATTGGTTCCCATATGTGTAAAGTCCACGGTATAGCCTCAGAGCCCGTGTTCCCCCCGGCAGACTTCTGCTATTTCCATGAGGGTTACAATCACCTCTAATCTTCCATATGCACCTAAATGGATGTCATATGTGTAAGTGCTTCCGAAACCTCCTTCGGGAAGGATGGGGCTTCCGCAACGTTCCTGTTCCAAGTGAAACGGGTACGTTTTCCCAGTGTTATCCAATCTCACTGAGTGGGTAGTGCAACAGGGACTGGTCTTCTTGTTGCGAGACCCGGCCTACACCACAAAGGGGCGCAGGCGGCTCGAACAGGACACTAGAATGGGCAGCATCCATGGCACTTTGGTAGGGATCCCAATTCAACGGTCACCGACGTGACTCGGAATGACCGACTGAAAGGGAACGTCTCAGTTACGCATGTAACCCTCGTTCCCTGAAGGAGGGAACGGAGACGTTATGTCCCGTCGCCATGGCTGCTGTACCACCGCTGAGCGGCCAGGTCACTCGGCGAAAACCTGGTATGCGTTGCACCGGCTGCCTTTTTATGCTCACGCTGTGATCAGTGGCAGCTGGATGCAATCATTGCACGCCAATGTGCATTGGCTCGTTTAGTTTACACTCGAAGTGGATTGGTCTCTCTAAGCGAGGGTTACAAACGTAACTGAGACGTTATCAGCTTTTGCTATAAACTTTTAATATGTAAAAAAACATACTTTAAATTAACTTTAATTTTGTAAATTACCTGTATCCCAAGTTATTATTACTTTATCAAAGCAACCCAACTGCAGTTTGATTGATATTACTTGGAATGCGCAATAAAAAAAAACATGATTTCTGAAAAAAATCACGTTATCGGTGCTAAATGCAGCTTTGGTGAGCATAAGAGACCTCTTTGAAATACATTAAAAAGTCTTACCGGCCCCAAAACTTTGAATTTCCAAACAAACACAACTAAATGTCCATAAACTGTTTATTGCACAAAAAAAAAAACTTTGTCTAATAACTGTCAACATTAAAAAGCTGTTTGTTCCTGAAAAACGATACATTCTGCCTTCAAATATTTGTCTTTTTCAGTGCAGTTTTTACAGCCAAATCGTGACAGTTTATGATGTAGCTGTGAAACGATGATGGAAAATGCATGCGTGAGATGAGGCGCAGTATATACCGTCATCCCTCCACTCTGTCATGTTTATAAATTGGCAGCGGGTTTTAATTCACTATTCCTTTGTTCCAGAAAACACCTTGCCACTTGCACATTTCACAGTGAAGTTCATGAGAACACGGAGTCCATTTCTTAATCTAATTGGAATTTTACTCTTCCTTCCTGCATACAGAAAATAAGCCATTCATGAAGGTCTGTGGAATGTGATGTTGCTCCGTGCCATAGGAGACTCCATTTATAGTATTTATACACTTTTGTTTTGCATTTGCTTTAAATTTATCCCTAATTAAACGTATTGTAATATGTGGCAGATGGGGATTTTATATGCATCCAGATGCATCCAGATGAAAGACCAAGCAGATTGGTGCTCGTTGTTGGTTTGAAATAAATAGGAGGGGAACTGACATCATTCTTTCCCAAACAGGCTTCTGGTATCTTTCACAAAATGACCTAATGTCCTTAGTCTGCTGAAAATATGCTATTTGACTGATCTTTATCTTGGAGGTTCAGTTTGGGTTCTGTGAAATATATGTATTCATATATTTCGGTACAATAACAATTATAATAATTGTATAGGTCTAATTGACTGTTGTCCCTGACAGTCAATCTTCTACATTAGCTCAGTCTCTTCATAGTACTACCTTGGTACCATATGCAAAAAAAACATGGTATTAACATGGTATTGTGTAAAACAACATGTCAATACCACAGTATTCTGACGTAAAACTTACAAAGTTTTGAAACAGTATTATATTCATATACCATCATATTTACATATTAAAGTACTTTCAAGAAACCTGATATTATTCTAGTTTTTTTTTTAAGTTTTATCATGTTCATGTTTTATCATATACAAACAAAAAAAATAGCATAATCATAAAACCATGTCCAAAACAACATGGTATCTGATGGAAATACCAAGGTACTTTGAAATGTAGCATGGTCCTCTTGAATGATTACCACATTAATTTACCATTATTTGTATATGTTACTCCAAGTAATGATACAGTGGTTGTATTATCATGTGTAATTCATGAAACCTGTATGCTTGGATTTATATTTATTCAGTATGTGAGCTAAAGCTTTCTCTGCTATTAATAGCTCTTGTTATTTGTCCAATTAGTAAGAGTCCAGATGGTGTGGCAAAGCACTGTTACTGAAGGGCAACAAGGCTAAGGCAATCGCAAACACAAGAACACACATATACTGAACACACATACAAATTAAGTCAGTATCGTCCCTATTTACTTTCCTTCATGCTCCTGCTCTTACTGTGATTGGTTAATTGGTGTAAGTTGTTTGAATGAGGAAAAAAAATTAAACTTTAATCAAAATGTTACAACTTGAGTTTCAGCTGTCACAGGCTATTGGATGATATTGTCAAGTGCTAAATGCTGTAGTTAAATAGAGGTTGTTTAAGCAAACTTGCACTGGTATGTAGTGCCCATTTTCACTATCCAATCAGTCCCAGATACTGTATACAGTATATTACTGCTAATTTTTTTTTTACTCAGCAAGGATGCAATAAATTGATTAAAAGTGGCATTAAAGTTAAAAAAAATGTACAATGCTCCAAAATATTTATATTCTATTTATATATTTTCATCAAAGAATCCTGGAAAAAAATGCATCACGGTTTCCACAAAAATATAAACACTGATGATAATAATAAGAGATGTTTCTTGAGCTGCAATTCAGCTTGCAAATGTAGCTTTGCCATTTTACAACAGGAAACAGTACTAAGTACTACTACTAATAATAATAATATAATATGTTTTAAATATCTTAAACATCCTACCCCAAACTTTTAAATGGTAGTGTATATAAACAAATTAAAGTCAAGTTCTGCCCTAATATCCTTTTTTCATTGTCACATAAGTCACATTTTGGTAAAAATATATAAAAGTAAAAAGTTGTGAAAAAACAATTTGCATAATTTTCAAACTTTCACCACCTTTTTTCCATCTGTCATTGTTGTATAAATGGCTCACTTGTAGTTTTACATTGGGAAAGAAGAAAGTATTTTAAATAAAAAAGACACACTTCCCCTTTAATATTCTGGCAGACAGAACGCATATTGAGCAGACATGGTGAACTCTCCAGCAGGCTCACAGGAGAAGATGATTATTTACAGAGCAGGGAGAGCAGGAGGTGTGTCAAAGATTTGCCTGCTCAACTGTGCTTTAACACCGAAATCTGGCTCAGTCACACTGAGCTAAGCACCTGGTGCCCGCATACGTACACAAACATAAGCGTCCACTGGAGTCACAAGCATGTGCTGCACAGACTTTGCACCGTATGTGACCATTAGTCACCATTACCTCCACATTCCCCATGTCTATCATTTAAAAAAATACGAACTACACTTGCACATGTATGAATGAACCTTAATACGTTTACACAGCAAGTGACATCAGTGACTACAGTGCACTGTAATGGTTGCAGGGTGCATTATGGGAGCAAAAGGGTTCCCCATTAGCGTAGCGATGGCACAGTTATGACTCATAATGGAACAGTCTTATATTTCAAAAAAGAATACAGGCATATTTTGGAAGTTTGGCAGGGCGATAGTTACTGTGCATTTGATAAGATTTTTGAAGGTTTTTGAAAGAAGTCTCTTATGCTCACCAAGGCTGCATATATTTGATCAAAAATACAGTAAAAAAAAAAACTGCAAAAAAAAAAAGTGAAATTTAAAGGAATGTTTTTCTATTTTAACATTTTAAAATGTCATGTATTCCTGTGATGGCAAAGCTGAATGTTCAGCAGCCTTTACTCCAGTCTTCAGTGTCACATGATCCTTCACAAATCATTCAAAAATGCTGAAATGCTGAACTCTTGATAAATTTAATGTGTCCTTGCAAAAAAAATAAGTATTCATTTCAATCAATAAATCAACCAACCAACCAACCAATCAATCAATCAACCAATCATTCTCACCCTACACCTTTGAACAGTAGCATAAGTTTATGGGACACTGTCTGTTTTTATCTCATCACTTAAAGTAATAGCACACTTCTCCTCAAGTCACACGACTTAAGGAATCAAACGTGTACATTTCACAAACAGTTACATGTGATGGATTTGTTCAAATCCCTACCTCTAAATTTGAGCAATAATAATATGCTTGCCTTAGCAAGCTCAACTACAAATTGGCACATACAATAAGACTTATTTAAGCATCTTTTGCTCTTCCACCCATAAAGATTGAAACAAGAATGTATGTATTTGGCAATCCTGACATGATGCACACTAAAACTCTGGACTGTAAAGCATAACCATGCCATAAATTGTCAGGTATTTGACATTACCAGAAAACATGTATGCTCTTGAGTGAGTCAGAATATGATCTCCTGCAGTTAGTTCAGGCCTCAGGGCATAAGTGGGTCTTCACCAAAAAAAAAAAAGTCTTCATGGATGGATGAGTTGAGGAAAGTTTATTACCATGCAGACATGGCCTGGCTTGACATCGAAGTCACCATGGACCTCACTGCACAGAATCTAAAGTCAAACAGTGTCTAATGGAGCGGTGTAATGCAAAGAGGCAGCTCTAACAGCACATCCCTTTCCCAACACACTTCACAGTCGGCTTCTATTACATCCAAAGCCAGTCTGATTACATCTGTTGTTAATCTGTGAGATCAGACTTGGCTTTGATGACACAGCTCTTTCTGAGGGGAAATTAAAATAGCACAGATATGAACAGTTCTGTTCTTTGGTCGGATATTTGCAGGTGTCTTGCCAGGGGTGAGAAAGGACATTTTACCTGGTGAGCATCTTCCCACTTCTCAAGGTTTTCAATGTCCAACATTAAGCTGACAATCTGGAAGAATTTCTGAAAAAGAAAAAAAAACAGTTTAAATAAAGAAAAAAGATAGTATTGTGCACTTTTTTTAATTTCAAAGTTCTGCTATATGAACAAAAGTGCAATAACAATTGATTTGCAAACACATAAGGTGCTTTTTTACAGCAGTATTCCTTTTACATATAGTAGTAGTTAAATATATATTGTAAATCTCAATTTATAACATTAATGTAATCCAAATTAAATATAAAACCAAAGCTATTTGCCACTGCCAAGGCATTAACGTTTTTATAGAAAATATTTTATAGTTTGTTATAGAAAAACAAGAGCTGAGTCCAGAGCCTCGATCAAAACATTATAACAGGCACCTTCTGAGTAGAGCCCTGCACATCGCGGGATCTAACACAGCAGAGTGCGGCGTGGGACAACACTTGATGGGCGAGTGCGGGTGTGGGCGGGTAGACTCGTGTGTGCGGGATGTGTGAAAGAATAAGGGTGTACTCACACTAGGCAATCTTAATCGTGCCCGAGCGCGTTTGACCCCCAAAGCCCGGTTCGTTTGACTAGTGTGATTGCTCTAGTGGTTCGTTTAGCCATCCCTGGCTCAGTTGGAAGAGGTGGGCCAGAGCGTGGCTCAGTTGGGCTCGGGCGCGGTGCGCATGTAGTGTCGGAGCGCTGAACTTCTGATACGTGCAGCATGATTGCGTAAACATTTTTGAGCGGCAAAAGTGATAGATCTGTAAAGCAATATATTGTGAGAGGGCCGTGTGTTACCGTGTCTCAAATGACTCAACATAATAAACCACAAAGTTAACAAAATGATGCACTCCACTGTGCTGAGCAAGAGCGCTTCTCTGCTGTCTTCACGTGCTATCGGAAATGTACTATTTCCCACTTATGAAGTTGTGAGCACTGCTGCAGTCTTAGGCCCACACCAAATGCTCTAAGACGCGTGATGACGCTCATCCCAAGCCAGTAACCTACTGATCAACATCTCACCCCTCCTGTGACCAATGGTTTGTCTGTGTGTGTATTCAGAGATAGTGAGCAACGAAGTTTCATAATAATAAAAAACTGCGTTAACGTGCGATAAAATATATATATAGTTGACATGTCAAACATTGATCTAAACCTTATATAATGTACATGCCACTGGATGGAGTAGATGTTTTTTTTTTTTACTTTGATGTTGTGAATCTGTGTTACTCTGCACTGCAAAAATTATTTATTTATTTAGTATTTGTCTTAATAGATAGACATACAAAGATATAAACTGTCTAACACAAATTTAAAACAACATACCTTTAATAAAAAGTGTAAGATGTTTTTTGAGAAATTTAATAGAAATGTTTTTTAATTGTATTAATTTTTAAATACTTTTAAGTACTTTTCATACCCAAATTGGTTTTTTTTCTTGTTTTAAACAAAAATTGAGTGATATATGTAATAATGAAGTTGACATGTGCAACAATATATGTAATTTTGAAGTTGACATGTCAAGCATTGATCTAAACTTGTATAATATACATGCCATTGTATAGACTCATATTAAGTCTGCTTAGAGTACCTTTTCTATTTAAGTCAACTACAAAAGAGCTTAAAAAGCTCTTAAAATCTGTGCAAACAGTGGAAAACATCAAAAGAAAGATTGCCTGGTCACAGTTTTTGTCATCTACCCATTTATTACTTGTACCTTTACACACACCCACAGGCAAATACATACCTGCACGTCGTCAGGAGCTGGGATGTAGGTTGCTCGCTTGAAGGTGTCCGTCACATTTCGGAGAATCTCCACAGAGAATAAGAGGTCGCCGCTATAATAATTCTTACGGGACATTAACTCCAGGAGACTCCTCACGATCTGAGACATGCCCTCCCCTGCCAGGGTCCTCTGACCCTTCGCAAGATGTTCTCGCAACTACAGGGGAAGAAAAAAAAAACACGCTTTTATGCACAGACACTGATAAATAAACCTTAATAATAACCACATAAGCACGAAGTTGCACCCTGGGTTTATAAATAAAACCAGATAAATAAACTCCAGCTACTAAATTACATCAGCAGACCAGTTCTGGAATTATTTTAATGCATTTCTCTACCGATTTAAAAATTTGTGGCATTATGCTCATTTAAATATGGTAATATATGCTAAACTATTTGTAGCTGAAAGAATAATTAATAAGCTAAAATATACGAACAAGCATGGAGAAGGATGTGAAGAAAAGTATAGTTTTGTGTACCCGTATAGGCTTAAAACGCACTAATATACTTTCATTTCATTCACTTAAAACAAGTTATAAATAAACTAACTTAAAAAGAGAATAAATAAGCACACTGAAATGTAGAGACAGATTTAAAGGTAAGCCAGAAAAAGAAGGGCAGAACAACACGCTGGCTTTGAAGCTGAAACAATATTGATCCGGGTCTGGAGCAAAGCGAAAGCAGTCTGAAGGTATCGACAGCCGCCTTAATCTACTTCCCATCTACAGTTAACCAAGGTGTGAGCATAAAGTGAAAACAACTTCTCCCTTAGTGAATCAACTAGCAGAGTTCTTGTTTGCGGCCGAATGACTGTCTAATGACAGTACTGTGAGTGCAGGAGGTGGCAGACAATGGCAATCAAAGCTAATTAAGCACTGTCTGATTATAATGAGGGGTTAGTGGACACATTAACAGCACAATCAACCCCGTCACATCACGCCTCTGTCGAGACAGAATTAAAACCCACTCTGCATTATGAACTCAAAGTCAAAGGTCGTGGCTGAGGAATTAGAAAGATCATGTGAAGGCAGGCTGTTGAATCTGTTAGGAAGTAATCAATCATTATCAAAACACAGAGGTCTCACAACAAGTGACAGAAAGCACATATCAATATGAAAGCTGTGAGACTGGTGATAAGTGATAAATGCTTTTAAGCATTTATGTTAGGGACTAGTTCAATGGAAGCTTTTCCAAGTAGTGGTTTTTATTTTCTTTGTGTGTGTTATAGTGAGTAGGGATCTGTAACGAATCAGCTCATGACAGTGAAGAATATGTGTGTTCATTCAAAGAAATGTTTTCCTATGAATTAATTAGTAGAAAAGTCAATTTCTGCTCTGCCTCTCCTATGGGGACAATGAGTGGGTTATTTTACTCACATTCTTGGGGGCTTCATAAAACCAGTGATATCATGATTAGTTGTCATGGTGACCAAGGGGGCCTGGTGTTCAGCAGAAATCCTGGCATCCAGTTTATTGAGTGAGGGGACTGTGACGATTTGTTAATCTAATGAATAATTGATTTGTTAAATCAAATAAAAATTAGTGTGTCAGATTGGTCGAGACGCTACAGATCCGACAATGGAATTGACACTTTTTAATGTTTTGCTGAGTGGTCATTGCAGCTATTATCATTTGCAGTAAGTGACAGCCAGTGTTGGGCAGTAACGCGTTACTGTAATTTGATTACTTTTTTAGTAACGGAGTAATTTAATGAGTTATAATTTTCAAAATAGTAATTAGAGTATAGTTAGAAGCCGAGGACTCTATATGTTACTGCCGTGTTACATTGCTGACAGAATGCAGTGATTTATAATCTAGATTGTAAAAAGGATGTAGCTCACGCACTGTCGAGTCAAGTGTCAGTGGATTAGAGACCTGCTCTCCCGCGAGACCCGACGCAACAGAGTGCGGCGTGGGACAAGACTTAATAGGCGAGTGCAGAGACTCATGTGTGTGCAGGATGCGGGAGAATAAAATGATTCACGGGACTCCTGCAAAATAGAAATATCTAATCATAAAATATCTGAAACAAATAAATTGTTATCAATCTATTGCACAAAAGCAGCAAGAACTAATATAAAATAAAAACGATTAAAAGGCGCAAGCTTCAGCAGAGCTTCTAAGGCTATAACACTAAGGCTAAGGCTGCGTTGAGCAATGTTAATTTCTGAAACGCAATGGCCAGTCAGGAGTGCAGTGCTGAAATGTGCATGCTCACGAATCCTCTCATTATAACACACTAATTGTAGACATTATGAAAAATGAATCATGCATATATTCATTGTGTTATAACAGAGCTTTGTGAGATTGCGATGAACTGAGATTTCATCTTTTTAGAGATGATAAAAGTAGCGCTATTTGCAGGTGTTCTGCCATGCCAAACCATGTGCGCAGCAGCCTATGCTTGCTTTAGTTAAAAATAACAGTTTTGTGAATGAACAAATATTTATCGGGAGCGTTTAGGCTGGGATTTCAAGTAAATTTCATGGATGTAGCCACAGAAAAAAAGTAAAGTAACTATGTAACTAATTACTTTTGAAATGAAGTAATCAGAACAGTAACATGATTACTTTTAAAAGGAGTAATCAGTAATCAGTAATTTAATTACATTTTCAGAGTAACTTGCCCAACACTGGTGACAGCAGCAATGTTTTCTCCAGCACACATGGCCCTTTAAATAAACTCCAATCTATCGCTTTTCTGTGGCTTGTTATCCGCTCTAGCGAAACCACCAAACAAAATGCAAACAAATGCGTCCCTGCTTCTGATATGCATTCACTTATGTACAGCTACAAATCTGGTGTATTAAACTTTTATTACTTAATATTCAGCTGCTCATCCATGCTATCTACTGAGCTACAAAACTCAGGGTCTTACAGGAGCAGATGGAAGTTATCAAATAAAATATCAGTTGAGTTCAGTTGAGCAACTGAATTAGTCAGCAAGTATGATTACTCCCTTAAATCACTGTGTAAACTGCATTCAGCAATATTTTTGTCCTGTTTTCCAGTAAAAAATATCCACGTATCCTCAAAAAAAAAATTTAATTAATGAATTAAAAATAAAATTATACAATTACAGCATACAAATAAAAAAAATTATAAATAAATGTACTTAGAAGCAAAATTGCTTCTAAGACTTGTTTTCAACAGGATATTTTAATACCAGACATTAGTTAAATTGATTTAGCAATATAATAATAATAGTAATAATATTAATAATAGTAACACATAGTATTAGTATTATTATTATTATTATTATTATAGCAAAGTTGTATTATTATTATTACTTCTACTGCTAGTAGTAGCATTGTTAGTATTATTATATTTAATAATACTAAATTGTGTATTTTAATTATTTAATTTAACAACAAAATATCATCATCATCATCATCATTATTATTATTAATAATAATAATAATAATAATTAAAAATAAAGCATACGATTTTTAAAGCTTTGAACAATGTTCGATAATAATAATACATTTAATTCAAAATAATCTCTTAAAACAAGTCTCATTTCCTCATAATACAGTATGTATGAGAAGATGGCAATACTCTAATACAGACCTGACTTCAAGAGAAATCCCACAAACTATTTATCAAAACAGTAAAAGATTGTTAAATAATGTGCATAAACAAATTAATATTCATAATCTAAGTTTTCCCCATCTTGTGATATCACAGCACGTCATCCTCATCCATGTACTCACAGATAAATGTAAATATCTATATTCGAGTGAGACACATCGGGCGAAGCTCGGAGGACCCCAGTAAGCAACTCCATTTGCGTCCAGCAAACAACGACGACTAGCAGATCCTACAGGGAGAGGAAAAAAAAAACAGATCATTATCACCGTTGGGCACAAGCAATAACAACATGCGAAGGTCTGTTTGACACACACGCTTCATATAAAAGACTTCACTGGGATGCGGCATATGATAATGTCTGGGATAATGACTGTTTTGAGTATGTCATTTTACACTGTTGTAAACTCAGTGTTGCTTAAAATTTCTGCTACTTGCATCATTCAGATCACGGCCAACAAGACTTGAATGAGGCCTCACCCCTAGTATCCTCGCTAGGATAAAAATGGGCCTGAAAATCACACAGGGAACGCAGGCAGACGTGGAAATGTAGCCAGAAAAAGTCAAGTGAAATGTTCTCTGCAGGAATTGGTTTTTCTTTTGGGGGTTAGTGAGCATGGCAGTCCGTGCTGCTCGGAATGTGGAGTTGATATAGATTACAGCTCGCCGTTGACCTCATTCAACACTCTGCTCTGTGCTCCCACTTCAAAGACATCACTTATTAAGTCTATCTGTTCTTATTAGGTAAAAATCACTGAGTGCCTTGGGTGTCTTTCTCCACTAGTATCTGAGAATTATTGCACGCTGTACTCAAGAGGGCATAAATAACCCCAACAAACTCTCCCACTGCAGTTGGAAGGGTTAGAACCTCTTGAGCCAATCTGAAGAGTGCAGAACACTCAATATATAACATTCAGAAAACATGAATGTCATGTTGTACAAAACGACAACATGTCAGTCTGTGCTATTAAATCTACAGTCTCTCAAAGAAAGAAATGTGATTTTCCTTGGGTCCAATGTAAGCTCTGCGGCAACGTCTGACATTTCAGTCCACCAAAATCTGACTTGATATCACTGCTACAGTATATTAACTTTCTGTGGCAGCATATATTGGGCTGTAAACATCCTCATTAAGTTCCCTCTCATACACCACTAATTCATCTCAATGGGCTTAAGAACTGAATGCTAATTAACTGCGTGGAAACCAACTTATTTTGAGCCTGTTGTGCGATGTAGATTTTGGAAGCTCCACCGATTGCACCGTTGATGGAGTTTTATAATGTAGTTTAACCAATCATAAAATCTTTTAATAAAGCTGCATGTCACGGTGAGAGAAGAAACAAATGTATCAGAGGCTGCATGAGATATGGCGTCTTTGGCTATGGCCAAAACAACATTAGATTGCAGTTTTATGTGATGTAGGCGGTGGCATAAACTCTGAAGCTAATCATGCTCGGATCATTATCTTTTCTTGTGTGGTTTTAATTTACTACTAATTTGTCACATTGCTGACATTTTTATCAAGAGCAATGTACAATATACTTTTTAGAAGAACGGTCGTCCTTGAGCAAGTTGGGTTTTGGCTAAAGGGCACAATGGTCATGGACTAGTCTTTACACAGAACCTGCAAACTTTCGATTACTGGCCTAGATAGAGACTAAACCAGCAATTTCTAGATCAAGAAGAAGATTAATCAAATAAATTGGCATTAAACTGACATTATTAGTGAATGATGACTTAAATGACTCAAATATATTGACAATAAATTGTCATTATCTGTGGGTTTTATTTAGTTGTTTTGGACCATAACAGCCAAAGAAACTATGAACTGTCATTTAGATCTTCCTCAAAATATAAACATTTTGTTCCACGGAAGGAAAAGTCATGGGTTGGAATAACACGAGGGTAAGTCATCTTCGGGTGAACTTTCATTTTAATATTTCATATTTCTAAAATGACTCCAACAGACCTTAATTAGTGAGTGGAGAGAATGTGTGCAATGACGTACCAGTGGCATTTGATGGACACTTGTTGTATACCGTCTCTCCAGCTGAGGCTCTCTTCCATGTCATGGCTACTTGGTACTCATCCTTACATATTTCATGAGGTGCTGCACACAGTATGAATCAAAAGTATAGATTAGCCAGAAGAAAAAAAAAACTAGAAAACATGTACAAACTGGCATTAAATAGGATTGATTGATTGCTCTCACATACATACATACATATGCACGCAAATACATACAGTACACTCTTAAAAATAAAGGTGCTTCGCGATGCCATAGAAGAACCTTTTTGTCTAAATGGTTCCAGAAAGAACCTTTAACCTTTTTTAACCTTTTTTTCACAAAAAGTTATTTGTAGCGAAAGAAGGTTCTTCAGATTATAAAAAGGTAAGAAAGAGGTGGTTCTTTAAAGAACCTTTGACTGAATGGTTCTTTGTGGAACCAAAAATGGTTCTTCTATGGCATCGCTTGAAGAACCTTTTGAAGCACCTTTATTTTTAAGAGTGTACATACATAAAACAATAAATAAATAGTATTTCTCTTGTTTTCTAGAATACATTTGATATTGTTTTGAATTTCCATCAATAAAATTAATTTCTTAATCATGAGTTGTGCCTGTTTTCCAATACAAATCTGTAAAATCTGTAACGTTTTGCATGCCAATAAAAAACTTAATTAATTAATTAACTTCGTTTAAACATGCATTTTCAGTTTTTATGTCTTTCTGTCAGTACAAATATCTAAAAAATCCTTTACAAAATTATACATTTTACCTCAAAAGCAAAAATTTATACAATTTTAAGTCTTGTTAACTTATCTTGAATTAAGTTTACTTTTCTTACCCATTGGCAAACAGATTTGTCTTGTTTTATTTATATATTTAATTAGGTTTATGTCTCTAGATTTTTCACTGAAACAAGGACAAAAAGTACTGATTAAGAAAATGAGTTGTTGCAGCACACAAAGCAAACTCTGTGAAGATCAGTTACTAGAACAACACACATCTCTCTCCAACTTTCATTCAAAAGTTTCTTCTGAACAGAAAACAACCCAGGGGTGAGATACAGAAGGGGACTGGGTTGAAAGCTGAGAGAGATGGAGAAGAGAATCCTACCTTTTTCATCTAAACATAATACACCCCGACAAAGCTATTGGACAGATTTTTGTCTTCAAGTGTCTGGCGCCATCAAAGCCCTGTGCCCGATATAAGCTCTGTGGCAATGTCTGACATTTATTTAATCTATAGCCTCCCAAAGCTGCAGTCAACGGCATGCTTATTGAAATCTGCTGTTTGCTGTGCTGCTTGACATGCAGACAAATCACACATAGCAGCACTTTGAACAATTCCCTTCTGTCAAGAATGACCCATCTCAATTTAAAGAGAGAAGAAATGGAAACAAAGGAGAAGAGAGAATGTTAAATACAGAAGAAAGAGAAAATGAGTGAGAGAGGTCTGAAAAGGAAAGGGCACTTTTTACAAATAGAGTTTTTTTAAGCATTCAGTGAACGCTTCACAATATGTTATTTATCAACTTCAGAAGACCAAACTTAATGTTCAATGAACTATTTTAGTTTCTATTAATTTTATTTTAAGGCGTGCAATTTATTTTTGTCAATTTATTTTTTGTTATTTTAAAGTTTAAAACCCTGATTTGAGGGACTTTGATATTTTAAACACAGAAATTAAAATGACAACTGTAAACACAAAACAAAATAAAAATACATGTATGCAATAGTCAACAAGTGTCCCAATTACTGTATGTCAGTTAAACTTAATCAAAAATAGTTTTAACTGAATATAAACTCAACAGATTAAGTCAAAATTAATAATGGATAATAACTAGATAGGCTATTAGACAATCAAGACTGTCAAGGTAGAACAGACCAAATTTGTATAGGAAATCAGAAAAAAAAAATCAGAAGAGAAGAAAAAGAGAGATGCTTTGATAATAATAAACACACACCTGGGCACTTCTTGTCATTGCAGGAGTGTACTTCCTCTCCAGAGCCTTCACAAGGGTAACCCTGGATTCCCGTGCCTTCACACATACGGAACCGCCGCTGCCAACCAGAGTCACAGGTCTTGGAGCACAAGCTCCAGTGATTCCAAGCACCCCAGTTTCCTCCACCTACACATAAGGAAGAAAATGAGGAACAAGAGATGAATTACAGGGAATTATTGTTGACCATCTAAACAATGTCCCAGTTAAATTTTCCAGTGCTGTTGGACTGTTTATCAGCGCTCTTGGAACCAGGGTTATTATAGATAACTAAAATATTACTTTAAATGCTTGAAATGAAAACTAAAAACGTATACATACTACCTAATAAAATAAAAACTACATAGAAATATTTATAAAAAATAAATAAATGAATAACACAACAAAATTACTAAAAGTTTAACTAAACTAAATTGAAAGCTGAAAATATAAAATCTGATTTAAACAAACAAACAAAAAAAACTACAATAGCATATCAGTGTTTCTGTTCACTGTTCAGCCAATCAGATTTGAGGACCAGCACTAACTGTTGTGTAAAACATGAAAAAGCACTTAAAAGTGAAGTGACAACCATATTTAGCTGTAGTGTGAATGTGGTCATAAAGCACCTGCATGAAGCTAATTTGCACTTATTAATTATTATCAGGGGTGCTAACTGGCATATGCTGACACAGCAGCATATCTGTGGAACAAAATGAGAGGTGCAGACCAGTTAGTCTCTGCAGTTTGGTACCATAGACAATTCAAAGCGTTCACTACAATTAAATAGACAATGACAGCAAAACAATGTGCAGCTGTTTACCTAATCTACCTGTCAATTTAAGACTGTAAGCCCACCAGAGAGAAACTTACCCCCACAAGATGGGTTGGTGCACTCACGATTCTCCGCATGTGGCCCCTTACACTCTGCCCAGCCATGAACTGACACACTGCAACGCCGCTGCCTCTGCTGAGTGCCGGAGCCGCAGGAAACAGAGCACTGAGACCAGGCGGCCCAGTCCAACCACTGCCCCTCCACTGCAAACACAACCACAGGGAGATGCAGAGAGAGAGAAGTGGAGGTGAGAACAGAATAAGACAGTACAAAAGCGGAGGAAGGACAGGAAAGAGAAGGACATAGAAGTGAGAGACAGAAACAAACAGGAAACAGGCGGTCGGAGGTACGGACAGAGAGACGGGGGACAGCAAGGGGTCTGTGTTTGTCTGTAGCATGTGAGTTTGGAATTTGGTTAAAATGATTTCTACTTACCCTGATACAAACCTGAGAGATAACTTCAACAAACTGAGTGAATATGATACTGATTAGTGATAAGCCAATGTAAATATTGTAAATTTTTCAAACTTCATCTATTTTTCCCCATTATAAACTATACAGTCAGCACAACAATTAAGTTTCACATGACAAAAAAACATTGAAATAAAATAAACATAAACTGAAATGAAATGAAATACTCTTTATTGTTTAGTTTTAATGTGCTAAAATAACTAAATACACTAAAACTTAAAAGAAATTGCATCATAAATGTAATTTACTAATTTATTTTCACCTGCTATTTAAACCCTGGTTACACAATTTTATTTTAAATTCTATATTGAAAAACGCTTGTTTTAGGATCACCTCTTCATCACCGAACATTGAATTACAATGCATTCTATTAGAATAAACATTTACCTGCACATTAAAGGAGCTCCAAGTAACACATTAATTTTCTTGAAAATTGTAGTCTAATGGGTTTCAGAGAAGACCAATGCAAAGAAAAGACTAATGTTGTTTAATTAATTAAAGAGAGATTGACTACTGTGACAAACCTAAAAGCACAGGAAGTTAAATAGAGGCTTTATAACATTAGCGCTAACATATATGAGAAACCTCCCTTTGATGATAATATGTTTAGTTAAATTGATGCATATTCCAGATTTTTCAGCCTTTAATTTCTCACAGGAAAAAAAAAATATATAATTACAGCTAGAAGCTAGAAATAAAAAAATAAAAAAGTAATACTGATTACTATTCATTGTTTTTCCATGTATAAAAGACAGCAAGCACATTATGTATTTTACATTAATTTTATATAGTAGATTAACTGTGGATATCAATAGAGTATATGCAAACACAGCAGAAGTTGTTCTGCCTGCGGTCATATCGGTCTTCTCTCTGACCGTCAACTACAACAAAAAACAATATGAGATCTTTTGCATAATGGATGAAACAAGGGATCAATTTGTAGTGACTATTTCTTACTTGAATAATGAGATTCATGTTTTCTGGTGAAGTTCAATGTGAATAAATAATACGTAGGGTGAATGCCGCTTATGAAGCCCTTCCCTGTCGCTAATCCAAAGCCCATCGCTTATGACTCATTTTGTTGAAGCATTTATGAATTTCTGCAGTGTTTATGGAGTTGGAAAAAAAATGTTTTAAAATCTTTTGAATGTTTCACTTCTCGTATCCCAAGATCCTTTGCAAAACATCAGAAGGCCTACATGCCTCGAAGGACACATATTCCGCATGTTCGAAAGTAAGAATTATATTTAAACTTCATCCATCAAATTATGCCATTAATCTTATGGCTTTATGTTTATATAATGAATGCTTTCTAGTGTGCACTATCTATTTCACAGTAGGGGAGATGTTACGTCTTTTGACATTAAGCAGCAATTTCAGCATCTGTGCATATTAACCTCTAATATCACTTTTATCTTATTTAAATGGGGTGGGGGTTGTTGGGGGTAGATATTCATATTTCATCCAAGCGTATCTCAAAATGATTGATGGTATGAACTGAAATCAAATTATCTCTCAATCTAATGGATTCCAAGGAAGACAAAGCACATGATGAACGAAAATACCTATGTCACCTTTGCTCTGTTAAAGCAGATGTTCGTCAAACTGAGAAAATTGGTATTATTATTAAGTGGTATATACAGTAGGTACAGAAAGTATTCAGACCCCCTTAAATTTTTCACTCTTTGTTATATTGCAGTCATTTGCTAAAATCATTTAAGTTAAATTTTTTTCCTCATTAATGTACACACAGCACCCCATATTGACAGAAAAACACAGAATTGTTGACATTTTTGCAGATTTATTAAAAAAGAAAAACTGAAATATCACATGGTCCTAAGTATTCAGACCCTTTGCTCAGTATTTAGTAGAAGCACCCTTTTGATCTAATACAGCCATGAGTCTTTTTGGGAAAGACCCAACAAGT